TATATATGAACCCCAATATTTTTTTTATTGTTGATTACAGAAAAAACGTTAGAAAACTATGCATCAATATTATATATAGATTAAAAACACGATTGGGAAGGAAGCACTCCCCCGTCCGAAAAAAAAAAGGACTTAAAATTTTCATAGCAGTGGATCGAATAAAAATGATTGTGTTCGCAGGGTAACTTCTGAATTATTACAGTACGTAATAATGTGGGAGCAATTATTTGAACGTACATTTTTCTCAATTAGCGTGCATGATGACTGAAAATGATTAGCGTACGAATTGTCGACATTTGCAATTGGCTAATGGCTGTCATTAATAGTAGCATTTTGGAAATGAGTTTTTCTACCTCTCTTTTTAAAAGAATTGTAGAAGTCTTTGATTTCCGTCGCTTAAGGGAAAATAAAAAGGTAGTCGTTGTGTATTCAAAGGTGGAAAAGGTGATTTAAAATTGTAAATATGCCAACTAAGAATGTTGAAAATATATAGCACACGGACTATTTGACACCATTGGCATCACATGGTCGGGGAGGAGTATAATGGTTGCAAGCTCCACTAATAGGGATTAAACCGTGATTAGAACATAACTTAATTGGGATAACATAACCTAGAAATATACTAGTACAGAACCAGACGTTTAGCCTCTTCTTTTATAACAATGTGTATATATATATACCACATACCTAACTTTTTGCATTTTTTTTCACTTCACTAACAACTAGTATATATTTTAACTAGGGTTTAATGCTATGCAAGCTTCCGTCGATTATGTTCCACAACTGAAACACGATATTCTAAATTGATGTTTTTCACTGATGACAAATTGTATTTAGTCAAGGTTATAGACTCGTTAACTCCATCGTCATATTGAAAGTAACCAAAAAAAAAAAGAAAAAAAGTAAGGTAATAAATATGAAAAAAAGCTGCTCGATTGACCTAGAAAGTAAGAATGGTAGTAATAGAACTTTCTTGAAAGGTTATGTTGGAAAGTAAGAAAACAACCTCGCCGAAAACTGCAGTTTAATAAAATAAGCTAACTTGTTTCAATAAAACCTTGTATTTGATATGACATTAAAAAGAAGAAAAAAAAATCATCCAAAATCAAGTAAATTTCATCAAATTGAAGAGTAGGTAGCTAGTTTCAGTTCACTGAATCATTCGCTAGAACTTGCATGTCTATTATTTTACTTACTGTCAGGTGAAAAGATAGGCCATTCACCTTTTTCTGTTCAAACCAAGTTTAATTATTTACCTCGATGGCTATGAAATAATATGCATGATCCACTATACATATAGGGATTCAGCCTGTTTATCTCCAACTAATAACAGTGATATTTTTTTTTCTATATTGATATTAGTCTTTTAGTTTACTTTTAATAAAATAAATCAATACACATGATTTGTATTTCGTGACGAGAGACTAATAATCTGCACTGTAGATGTAACAAATCATACAAACACTATTGATGATCAATCTAGTTTAGTCTATTTTTGGGGTTGTCATCAAGAATTATAAGGGAGGTTGAATTATGAAGATGGAAGATAATCGAACCCGCACAAGGCACAAAACCACAGACCTTGGCCATGATGATTTGAAATTTGGAATTCTTTAACTAAGCCAAAATAATTTTGTATAGAATAATGAATTCCAAACTAACTTGTCCCCCTTTGAATTTTCTTTTTTTCCTACATGACAAAAGAAGCTAGTCAGTGTCTCGTACAAAGATGCGTTGCTTTGTTTCGATTGGTTTTCAATTTTTCATCCGTATATTTTTTGCCTTCACAAAAGATTGTGTGTATTTTTCTTTCATATGGAATTTTTTTTCTTCAAGAAGAGGTCGTCTGTTGTGGTTAAGATGTTGTACACTTGACCACAAAATTGAGGGTTCGATTCTTACTATAAACGCAGAAAGTATATATCTGAACACTAACCAGCTTAAGTATATATAAGGCCTGCAATTATTGGCCATGGAGGACCAGACATTTCGAGCAAGAAGTGCACGTGAGTAGAGTCTCCCCTAATGATACTATTCCTTCTTTAATAGATTCTACCCCGTTGTAATAGGCTAAGTATCTCTAAAACAATTATAGATACGGCCTCAAATATATATATATATAAGAAAAAAAGAGGGAGAAGACATGATATGGTATAAATTCGCAACTCAAATTGCCTATTTCCTGTATCAATCATGAGGATGAGAATAACACACCAAAATGGAGGTCTCCAGTAAGAAGCACAATGGAGAGCGTTTTGGAGTTTTCGCGATTTTCATCACCTATAAACCATCTCTTAATCTGTTCTTACGAGCAAGATCCTCATCTATAAATAGTACGTAGTTTGTATGTACGTAATTTTACCCTAAAATGCTCATTTGCAGACACTGACTTCATTAGAGTTCAAAATTCGGATATTCTCTATTTATTAGGGAACTTAGCAATTTTGTGGCTTATATCAAGAATGTAAAATTGAAGAGTACAACGAAAACCTGACATATGGTCCATGATGCCCTAAACAGCCTAAACGGCATTCTTTTTACATTTGTGGACACAACAAATATATTCCTTCCGTCCCAAAATTATTGTCCAGTTTGGGTTTTTATTTTTAGTTCAAATTGTACTAAAAGAGAAATTCCAAATTAGACAATAATTTTGGGACGAGAGAGTATGTGTTTGTGGGTCAAAAGCTTTCAGAATTCTCCAATCGATTTTAACCCTTTCTTTAGAAGATTTTACTGAAAAAGACGTGATGAAATCACACCTACTAAGCTACATAGAGAGAATTAAGAAGGAAAAAGAAAGGATGAGAAAAAAGTAGATTCCATTTTAGTCCCCAAAGAAGCTATAAATTAATCATCACAAAATCATGCATGCAATTGCAATCAAATCCCACTCGTAATGGCGTCTATAATATTTTAATCTTCCCATATGGTATTTTACAAAATTTTTCTACGTACACCTCATCATGCATGCAGTATCCTATACAAATCCAATTATAATTCTAATTGGCAATTTGGGAATTGTATAATGTACACGTTAATCATGTAATACTTTGAAGTAGCTAGTGCTGCGTATGTCGTATATTGTACCAATATATATGTTCAGCTTTTACTATCATCGTGTAACTCGTGTTGAAGGTTGTTTTCCCCTTTCATTTTCCTGCACTTTTCATCAATAACAACGGATATATATATTACTATATAAATTACTTTTATATATGCATGTTAAAAGTTTTGTGTATTTTGTAATACATATAAATGAGATAATGGATTGTCTACATCAATGGATTTTTTTTTTGTCACATTGCTTACATGTGGTTGAAGCACTTAAATTCTTTTAATTAAAATCCATTTTTTTTAACAATCTTTATATGAGTTTAATAGTTATTCTTCCTTCAAACTACATATATCGCCAACTGATGACCGGACAATTTATTAACTCCGGCCAAATTGTCAGAATTTGGTTAATTCCAATCGGTTGTGTGGTGATAATTTGGTATTTTGTAGTGAACATCATCTGCTACGTACATTAATCCATTATAATTGATTTTCTTTAAAAAAAAATTCACCCCAATGAACCCACTTAAATATGGGTAAATCTCTCTTTATAAACCATTGGTAGAAATCGAATCCTATCTATTATCAGAAAAACAACACCCTAATCATTAGGTTTTCATTCAATTTCAATTATAATTATATTCTCATACATTAAAATATTGTTTATTATCGTTAAAAAAACTAGCTTCTATTTTTCTGTTGTATGTAATTAACTAGTATTAATTTGTTAAATTGATGCTGATATGCCTATTGTCAAATATTTCATTGACAAATTTCATAACTTAGAATAAGTCAAAAGGTGTACTACTCAAGTTGTCAAATAATAATAATAATAATAATAATAATAATAACATTTTTTATTTTATTTTTTTGGTAACGCCAGAAACCCTACCAGAGATGGGTAAACGTATGTCCACTGCAATAACCTGCAAACTACTGTAAGAGGTAAATTACCTAGACAAATTTAGAATGATAAGCTAAAATTTAACGTTTTACAGTATAGCACACAACATAAAATTGGAGTAGCAGTACTTGTTTCATTTAAAATGTAATCTAATTAACTAGAAACTTAATAGAATGATATACTCTTTCTATTTTAACAAAATAGTCCACTTCATTAAACTAAAACATATTAACCAAATGAACTGTATTTTCTTGGAAGAAAAGTGCATTGAAGTGCAAAACCACATTAACATTCTTTTATTTCAAGCTACACAGATGATACAACAATATGATAGGAATAAGATACTTAACAACGTTGTGATATAACTAATGTTGGACTCCTGATAACGGTGAATCCAATTGTGTAAGACCTCTTGTGATATTCGGTCGCCTAAACAATCAGCAGCAAAATTACACTCCTCAAAATTATTAGTAAAACTAGCATTTCAACTTCTATTCAAAAATTCCTTAATTGCTCGTACAATATAATCGCCTGTTTGCGACGAAAGAGTATGTTGAAAATTACTCCACCGCAATGTTATTCTTAACAAAAATTTAAAACTAACTCACGCGAGGGATAAAGTGCATTTACTCTTCACTCTGAACAATAATTATCATGTTTAGAATTTCATATTTATATAAAATTTGTATTAAAATAAAAATTTTAAATTGAACAATTATTTTAGGACGGAAAAAATTATTAAAATTAGTATTCTGAGCAAAGGTAGGATATATACCACAGAAGTGGGTACGTTCCACAAAACACCACAGCCTGCCTTCCCTGAGGCTTGAGTTTCCTACTAGCTAGTATTATGGTGTACTATATAAATGCCATAACCTTTTCTCTTTTTCAAGCGGTGCAACTTCCATTTCATCAAGGCTTTGTCCTATAAGCTACATTTAAAGCTTTTCTAAAGCTTTTTAATCTTTGTAAGCTCTTGTCTCATAAAGTGTTGAAAAAGATTAGGAATTTTTTTCCAGGAGAGAATCATCAATTCAAAATGGAGTGCTTTGCTGACCACAGTTTCTTGGAGGAATTATTAGCTCTAAGAAGTGAACCCATTTGGGAAGCAGTTTCCATTACCGACGAGTTCTGTAACAACGGCGGCTGGAGTAGTAATAATACTACCAATTTGCCTAATTTTGCTCCAAATTCATCCATGGAAAGTTATTTCACCCTGCCCACCAGCAAAATTGAGCAGAACCAGAGCCTGAATTACTGTTCTTTGTTCACAGAGTGTTATAATTACGGCCCATTTGGAGATGAATTGTCATCTCCGCCGGATTTGATGGATTCCACTTACGCCACCAACAAGCTTGAGAACCCGCCGTTTCCTTCGCCGGGAGATTTGTCGTCCATCGTCGGAGATGAGATTACTCAGGCCGCCGGCTTGCTCATCAGGAATTCCCTTCCCGATTTCGAAATCCCAGATGTTAAAACATGCGGAATTGAGCTCAAGGAGTACTCTGAGTCTCCGCCGTTAATTCCGTCCACCGCAAACCAGGCGGCGGCGGCGGCGCAGCCAGTTTTCGACATGGGTATTCCGCCGGAAAGGGAGGGTAAAACGAGGAAACCCAATAATGGGCAGCCGTCAAAGAACCTCATGGCTGAAAGAAGGCGGAGGAAACGCCTCAATGATCGGCTCTCCATGCTCAGATCAGTTGTTCCAAAAATAAGCAAGGTAAAAAAAAAAAAAAACAGAGATAAAAATCCTTTTTTTTTCCTATGTACATTGTTCTTGAGTAATTTTTAAAGAATTTTTTCTTAAAAAAAATTGAATAGATGGACAGAACAGCAATTCTGGGCGATACAATCGATTATATGAAAGAGCTTCTTGAAAGAATCAAAGGTCTACAGGAAGAAGAAAAGGGTGTGGGGTCAAATCATGATGAACCAAGTTTGATGAGCATCTTCAAGGATGTGAAGCCCAATGAAGTTTTAGTACGAAATTCACCCAAGGTAAAATTTTGTGTATCTTCACTTTCAGTTACAAACTATGGCAGTAAAAGTGAGTTATTGATTTAAGTTTTTAACTTTAACAGTTTAACGTGGAGAAAAGCAATAGGGAAACAAGAATAGAGATATGTTGTGCAGGAAAGCCTGGCCTTTTGCTGTCAACATTGACTACTCTAGATGCTTTAGGACTTGAGCTTCAACAGTGTGTCATCAGTTGCTTTAACGATTTTACCCTCCATGCTTCCTGTTCTTCTGAGGTAAATCTGATTAATTTAATTAATTAATCCCAAAACCTTATTTATACTAAAAACTAATTGATTTGATTTGAATATTTCCCTTTTGGAATTTTTAATGTCCTTGATTGAAATTCTTTTCAATTGGTGTTATACTATTTAGGAAATGGAGAGAATGGGAATATTGAGTTCGGAGGATATTAAACAGGCACTTTTTAGAAATGCTGGATATGGAGGACGATGTTTTTAGAGAGATCGAAGGAAAGTGACAACTTCTTCTTTGGTGTTTTGAGTGTTTGTTGTTGTTGTTGAGATACATTCATTTCGTTGTTGTGAATCTGAATCTTTTGCTGTTTTGTTTGAGAAAACCAAAAAAAAAAAAAAGATCGAAATTTCAGAGATGAGAGGTTGGCAGTGAATGTGGGGTGATTGTTGTTATCCAAAATCAGTGGTGTTTTTTCTTGTAAAGAGACAAAAGAAAAAATAAAATCGGTTGCTTTTTTTTATTTTTTATTTTTAGTTTTTTATTAGTTTTTAATTTTTTAGCCATGCAAGCCATCACAATTCGCAACAGTCAAACATGGAATTGACACTCCACGTGTACATTAATTTCTGCAGCTAGCTATAAGAGTCTATATATGAAAGCCTCCACTATCATTATGCATGTAGATAAACAATAATTAATGTTTTTCTTCTTTTTGTTTGGTACTTACAATAACTTTAATCTAGATGATGTCAAAAAATATAGTTACGGTTTGTACCAAAAAAAAAAAAAAAACATAGTTACGGTCGGGTCCTCTTCTAGTTAAGTTGATGAGAATGTAGGCAGTTGATTAATGTACTCTAAGGATTTCAAAAGTTTAGTTCCTAGCTTAGCTAGGGTTCTTAACTTCGTTGATTGAAAACACTTCACTTCAAAGTTCGAATTGTCTCACGGTGTACTACGATATTGAATCTCTTTAATATAATGACCAATGATCCAAAATTCGTTAATTCCCAAACAAACATAGCAAATGAGTGTTTGCAAGTTTGTTCCTTCATTTTACATTTTAACTTATTTTACCTCTTAAACACAAAACTCAATGTAAAAAAAATATCATCCAAATAACTTTCTGATTTACATTTTAAATTATAACTTGAAACACTTTTTGTTAGTGTAATGACCATTTTAGAACTAATAATAGTTTAGTGACAAATTTGGCGGGATTCCGTTGTTTAGTGATTATTTTTAGAAATGTTTTTTTTAAAGTGACTATAATTGACAGTATTTAATTATTTAGTGATGATTCGTACTTGATATTTCAAAATATAGTTCAAAATATTTTTTTTCAAATCTAACATCTAAATAATTTTTTGCTCAAAATATCATCCAAATAATATTTTCATTTCTCATTTAGTTTTTAACTTGAAACACTTTTCACTTTTAAGTGGCAAAATGAAATGTAAGCTGAAGCACTCAGTTTTTTGAGCATGGAAAATATTGGGTGGTAAGATTTTATCGTTTTGCTTCATGCGCTTATAAAGGTGCTACTGTCGTAAAATTCATAACAGATATAACAATCGATGATAATGGAGTTTTAATCGTTCAAGTTACTATGTGTTGAAAACGAATGTTCATTATTAAATGGCGTAGCTAGATAATTTTATAAATTTTGTTTGTCACGTTATCATAGCAACATGGTTTATAGCAAAAAAGAATTGAAAAGAAAATTAGTACCACTTTGCAGTGGGACAGCATTCGGGGGGAAACATTATTACATTAATAGCACCAGAATGTAAATGTAAGCCCAAAATTTTAGAGTGGACATAATAATTTAATGGCTAACTGATCAAATGAGTCATTAATGCGAAGCATGCGTATCAATCATTTTTCATACAAATTTTGGATCCTTGTGACTACGTAGGAAGAAAGAGGATCAATATTCTCACTTCCCTTTTTTCCTTTTTTTTTTTTGTCTTTGAAACGTAGAAAAACACACCCAAAAGGGCCAAAACTGCATGCAATTTTGCTCTCTAGTTTCCGCTTTGTAATGTATAAACAGACACGTTACGAAGTTTCTGTTGATATCCACAAAAATTGGTACCCGGCGGCCCAATGAACAAGAAGCACATATTTTTGGCCAACTTGGCTTTTAATTTGTCGCTCTCTCTGTTCATATTGCGGCAGCGGCGATTATGAACTGGATTCTTAGGTTAAAATTTATATTCTAAGTGATTTTGATGATGATGATGATGATGAAATCTTAGTTTTAGAGTGGTGGTGGAGTGTTCAAGAAACTGTTGGGGCGTAAATTTTAATTAAACCTGATTTTGTTCACAGGTTCTTGAAAGGGGTGAGATTTTATGAAATGTGAGTTCGTGTAAATGATCCAAAAATTAACATCGGATTGCAGCAAATTTTTGCTCGTGAAATTATCGGCATAGATGCATATTTTTTCTGAAGCTGATTTCCTCGAGCAGAAAAGTTTGAATACGTTTGGACATATTCAGAGAGAAACAAATTTAAGTACGGACGATACGTAACAAGATGAGGTCTTATCATACGGGTAGTCACCCCAGTTCGTCCATGCCAGCAGAATTGAACGTCACTTAAATATTACTATACTCTCCTCGTCTCCAAAACAAAATTAAATTTGAACTAATTTATTTGTATGAATGGGAGCATTATCGATTGTTATATTTTGTTAGTTATTAAAGTAACTTCAAAAATTTTTATACTGTATAAGTTCAAGACTTAATGTGAACCAATTTTTTTTACAGAAAAAAGTATTTATTTAAGTAACTTCAAAAAATTTCTTGCAAAGTCTTGTATTTATCCTATATTCCCTTTATTTCAAAATAAGTGTCGTCTTAGTAAAATGGAGAAATTTCAAAATAAGTATCGTTCTTAAATTTCGATGCACTTTTTGTCCAAAGTTTCTAAGATTATCCTCAAAAGAATTAATACTATTGGTGGACATTTTTTTTAATGGGATTGGTTGAGTATATTCAAGTAATTTTACTACCCTATTTATAAATTTCGTAAACTATGTGCAAAGTGTAGGATGACATTTATTTTGGAATGGAGGGAATACAACTTTAGTTTTATATTCCCATAAAAAAAATTTACAAGATTCAATCTGATCAGAAATAGTATGAAGAAAATGAGAAATAAAGTTAGATAATAAAAAATGACGATAGAAGATTAGCTAGGGTTAAAGAAAAAAGTTTAGGTGAAATCGAAATGTATCATTTAATTTGTACATAAGTAAATGTCTCTTGGTGAGTTTAAGACATTACAATAAAAATGAGCTATTAATACCTTTATAGTGGGACACTTTTTCTAAAATGTGTCTCATTATAAGTGTATTAGGACATTTGCTAAAAACTGTCTTATTAAAAATGAAAAAGTGTATACATATTATGAAACACTATCATAAGTGTACTATGTGGGATTGCTTGTGAACTATTACCCTACTTAATAGGTCATTTTAAAGTGTCTTAATAAGTGGCAATCTAATAATACACTTTCAAATATTTTATGAATTATTGTGACTCGATTATAGGAGACACTATTTAGTAGTGTCCCACGCAATGTGAATCGCATGTGTCCTATTACACCACTTATTGAAATACAAAAAAGTGTCTAAACTACTCATTTTTGTTGTAGTGAGATCTTGAATGTGATTAGTCATAAATTAAATTGAGCATTCTGATTGGCACATTAGTTCACATGACATCATCAACTTTAAATTGAGCCCTTTGATTGGTTAATATATTTAACATAACATTAACAATTTTAAACAAGGCTACAATGATCAATTAATAATAAAAAAAAATTTGTGCCAACTATATATGTCATTAGGCGAGAGAAATAATCTAATTAATAATGTGGAGGACTAAATGACGATGTTTACTACTCGATGTTACCAATTAAAATGTCGTTATTTGTGCTCATTTTTACTGCCAATTTTTTCGGCCGTCTTCTATCCCTTATTTCCTCAAAAAAATTTCTCCGCCCCAAATGTCAATCTAATCTTCTGTTACCTCTATTTTCCTATCCCTTCAAAATCTACTTGCCTACTTGAGTTCAAAATTCAATTGTTATGCAATGGTGGCGACGGCCAATCTCTCGAAAGGAAGAAGAACTAATCCTGATTATTTTTTTTCGGTTCTCGATGATAGCGATGGTGTAGATCCAGCGTTCAACAAACAAATGGTGATCATATTTTGGTTGGGCTTCTGATAATGGTAATGTTACCGTCCAGGAAACACATGCCGATACTGATGAATCGTGTTCCTGGCATCACATAGTAATTATTATTAGAATTTCATTAAGCCAAATGACAACGTAACTATTTAAAGTAAATTCATACTGACATGACTCAAACGAGAACAAATCTAGTTCTTATAAAAGAAACAAAACGTTTACCTCTATTGATTTGTCAATTTCAAAGTCAACATAAAAAGTTTTGTATATAAAACTAAAGTTGTATAGAGTAAATACAAATTGCATAACACATGTATGTAATAACGTAAAGGTCAAAGTACTTTGTTTGCCGTCTGAATATATATACTACTCTACAAAACAAACCTAATAGTAATTTCAAAAGCTTCCATACGATAAATATGAACTCGATTTGGATGGTCGGGCAGAAACGAGTAAATTTTTTTTCTCGCTTCCTCCATTTCCACCATTTTAATTCGATCATAGGAAATGCTTCAGGGCATATATTAACTTCAAAGCCAGGAGGAACTTCAAAAAATTTCAGACCTACACCAGCTACATGAAGTCGAAGCTTCTCATTATTTTTAACCTTCTCATTTCAAGATTTTAAGGACATCGATTCGCTTCGCGAGACTGCATGCCCAAAAATAAAAAGGGTTAAAGAACTTGTCATGTTTTGTTGTGGAAAAATCCAAATTTTCTCCCGGACATTATCAATCATCGAACGTAAAAAAAAAAAAAGGTTTCAACTTCCCTCGCTCAAAAAAACAATGCACCAGCTTGCTTACAAAGAAATATAAGATACAGGAAATTTGGATAACAGCAATCAAATTACGGACGAGGATGAAAGATGATCTAATTAGTCTATATTGAAGTGAAGTACGGACGAGTCATTTGTCATATCGCTCTGTGTCCATGTATATTCTAGAACCTTATAGAATAAAGTTCTCTTGTACTTGTACTATAAGTATGTCACGTCGATGTACCACTATACTCACTTCCATACGATCAATTATTTGAGTTGGTATCGAAGAAGTCCATTT